ATAACTTTAATATATAAGAGAAAACTTATAAGCTATATATAATATATCTTAATAAAGCTTATTACGTGAATATTAAATAAGACTAATAATATATAAAATAAAATAAGATTTACGTGCGCGCTTAAAATAATAGAATTAATAAGATTAAAGGAATTAACGTTATTTATAACTTTCTTAATATAATTAAAGCTTACTTTAAGCTTAAATAAGCTAAAGCTATACTTAATATAATTATTATTAATAAAGCTTAAGAAATTAAGAATAAGTATACTCTTTATAATTTTAAATTAATGTTTTAAGCACTTATTATTACGTATAAGTATAAGTATAATAATATTAAAGGTATATATATAATACTTAAGAAACGCTTAAATTAAGAGAAATAACTTTACTAAGCGTAAAAATAAGAAAATAAAAAGTAAATAAAGAATAATAAAGATAATAATAAAGGTTAATTAAAGTTAAAGTACTCTTATTTAATAGGTAATTAATTAAGAAGATATAAATAATAAGTAAAGAACTATAAGATGTTTTCTTGTTAATGCTCTAACTATAAGTAAACTCGCTCTTTATTATAGTAAAACTAGGGATATTAAGGTATTAGAAATTACTAGTAATACCTTTTACGTAAATAATCTAATTACCCGTAAATTATTATAAGGCTACCTTATAATATTATTTAAAGAACCTATTATATAAAAGATAATATACTAATAAACGGTAATTACGTTTATAATTAAAGTAAAGCTACTTGCTTTATAATGAATAATAAAGGAAATAATAGCTTTAAAGCGCCTTTTTTATAATATTAAATTTAACCTATAATAAGACTATAATATCTATTATAATAATTAATAGACTATACGCTTAATACTTAATATAAGTGAATAAATTAATACTTACTTATATTATATAAACATTTATTTAATATAATTAAAGTACCTAATAAAATACTTATACAATTATAAGTTTTACGAATAACTAGCATAGATCTAAAATTATAAGCTTATAATAGAAAAAGTGGGTCCTTATATACTATTATAAGCCTAAAACTTTAAAAACTACATTTT